TGGGAAAATTTATGGAATCATAATTGCCGAGGCAGTTCGTAGCCACCTTGAAAAGCATAAATTAATCAACGAATCTCAGCAGGTTTTTACAAAGGGGCGTTCCTGCCTTACGAATTTATTAACTTTTTTCACTAAGGTATTTGAGGAGGTAGATCATGGTAATGAATATGATATTGTGTATATGGACTTCAGTAAGGCTTTTGACAGGGTCCCACATCAGAGACTATTGAGGAAAATTAAAGCACATGGAATAGGAGGAGAAATTTTTTCCTGGATAGAGGCATGGTTGACAAATAGGCAGCAGAGAGTTTGCATAAATGGGGAGAAATCAGAGTGGGAAGCGTCACGAGCGGTGTTCCACAGGGGTCAGTGTTGGGCCCCTGCTGTTCACAATCTACATAAACGACATAGATGAGGGCATAAGAGCGACATCGGCAAGTTTGCCGATGACACCAAAATAGGCCGTCGAATTCATTCTGACGAGGACATTCGAGCACTCCAGGAAGATTTGAATAGACTGATGCAGTGGTCGAGAGAAGTGGCAGATGCAGTTTAATATAGACAAATGCAAAGTTCTAAATGTTGGACAGGACAATAACCATGCCACATATAAACTAAATAATGTAGATCTTAATATTACGGATTGCGAAAAAGATTTAGGAGTTCTGGTTAGCAGTAATCTGAAACCAAGACAACAGTGCATAAGTGTTCGCAATAAAGCTAATAGAATCCTTGGCTTCATATCAAGAAGCATAAATAATAGGAGTCCTCAGGTTGTTCTTCAACTCTAATACATCCTTGGTTAGGCCTCATTTAGATTATGCTGCACAGTTTTGGTCACCGTATTACAGAATGGATATAAATTCTCTGGAAAATGTACAAAGGAGGATGACAAAGTTGATCCCATGTATCAGAAACCTTCCCTATGAGGATAGACAAAGGGCCACTGAAACTGCACTCTCTAGAAAGACGTAGAATTAGGGGGGATATGATTGAGGTTGTATAAATGGAAGACAGGAATAAATAAAGGGATGTAAATAGTGTGCTGAAAATATCTAGCCTAGACAGGACTCGCAGCAATGGTTTTAAGTTGGAAAAATTCAGATTCAGGAAGGATATAGGAAATTTACTGGTTTGGTAATAGAGTTGTGGATGAGTGGAACAAACTCCCAAATACCGTTATAGAGGCCAGAACGTTGTGTAGCTTTAAAAATAGGTTGGATAAATACATGAGTAGATGTGGGTGGGTGTGAGTTAGACCTGATAGCTTGTGCTACCAGGTCGGTTGCCGTGTTCCTCCCTTAAGTCAATGTGACCTGACCTGACTAGGTTGGGTGCATTGGCTTAAGCCGGTAGGAGACTTGGACCTGCCTTGCATGGGCCAGTAGGCCTTCTGCAGTGTTCCTTCGTTCTTATGTTCTTATGTTCTTCTTAACTCTTGGGTATCTTTATTGAGGAAACGTTTCGCCACACAGTGGCTTCATCAGTCCATACATAGGAGAAACTTGAAGAACAGGAGGAGAATGAGGTAATCAGTCCCTCAACCTTGAGTCGATGTGTTCAGTCCATCAATCTTGAGTAGAATTGATGGACTGAACACATCGACTCAAGGTTGAGGGACTGATTACCTCATTCTCCTCCTGTTCTTCAAGTTTCTCCTATGTATGGACTGATGAAGCCACTGTGTGGCGAAACGTTTCCTCAATAAAGATACCCAAGAGTTGCACATGTGTCTAATTTATCAACATGTCGGTTCTCTGAACCATTCATCTACATATCTGTATTTTGACAGGATTGGGAAACAAAATCTGTGATTAGCAAAGATAATAGTTTGTATTTTTTTTAACTTCACGCTAACATGCAGCAGGAAACGCTAGCATAGATTTAATTTATATTGATTCTCTTGTAGGTTAAGTTGGGCAAGAATCGTCAGGGAACAGGAAAATTAGTTCCTGACGTGGGTCTGTCATAAGATGATCCCGCCAGGCTTGTCCTTGTTTTATGAATATTATAATAGTGTACATAGTGTTATCATGGTAAAAAGATATAATTCTGTGAAATGAAACCATTATAAAATAAATTACATTTCTAAATTTAACTTACCTGGAGGTTATTCCGGGGATCAACGCCCCCGCGGCCCGGTCCATGACCAGGCCTCCCGATGGATCAGGGCCTGATCAACTAGGCTGTTACTGCTGGCCGCACGCAGTCCAACGTACGAGCCACAGCCCGGCTGATCCGGCACTGACTTTAGGTATCTGTCCAGCTCTCTCTTGAAGGCAGCCAGGGGTTTATTGGCAATTCCCCTAATGCTTGATGGGAGGCTGTTGAACAGTTTTGGGCCCCGGACACTTATGGTGTTTTCCCTTAGTGTACCAAAGGCGCCCCTACTTTTTATTGGGGCATTTTTCATCGCCTGCCCAGTCTTTTACTTTCGTTGGGAGAGTGATTTGTGTGTGCAGATTTGGGACCATTCCTTCCAAGATTTTTCCCAAATGTAGATTATGATATATCTCTCCCTCCCGCGTTCCAACGAGTACAAGTCAAAGTGCTTCCAAGCGTTCCCAGTAGTTAAGGTGCTTGACAGAAAATTATACGTGCAGTAAAGGATCTCTGTACACTCTCTAGATCTGCGATTTCACCTGCTTTGAATGGAGATGTTAATGTACAGCAGTATTCCAGCCTAGAGAGAACAAGTGATTTTGAAAAGGATCATCATGGCTTGGGCATCTCTCGTTTTAAAGTTCTCATTTCCTCCATCATTTTCTTTGCACGTGCGATGTGGCACTGTTTGCCCTTTGAAAGAAAGACCCTCAGACTTACTACCCCGGGTCCCTTACATTATTTTTCGCTCTTTTGTATGGCCGGAATAGTGTATACTCTGTTCTGTTATTATTCCTCCATTTTCCATAACGGATAGTTGGAATTTGTTCTTTGAACATAATTTGTTTACCGTTCCCCAGGAAAAACTTTGTTTTTTTTCTTGGAGGTTAAACCGCGTCCTCGCAGATGACAGCCTCATGCAGATCCTATACACCGCAAGGATGATACGGTGCTGTGGTGTTATCTTGTTTATGTCTGTATGGGATAAGGAAAAGATGGGCGGTCTGTGCCTTGTGGAACGATCTTCACTTGGGCACCCCTCCGTTTTTAACTCTGTTGACCACTACTCTTTGTGTTCGTTTGTTGGAATTTAAAGACCTTTCCCCCCCTTTTCCCCCAGTTTTCCTTTAGCACGTTTTTTATGGCTATTACGCATGATCGCATTTGTCAAATGCTTTTGCAAAGTCTTGTATATTCATCTGCATTTGATTTTTTCATGCTCCGGCCATGTCATAGTGATCCAGTTTTTGTAGAGGCGGAGCGACCGCCCAACCATGTTGCCGGGATTGTGCAGATTTTAAAATCCGGGTGATTTGAAACCCGCTTTTTACACTCTTTCAAAGATTTTTATGATTTGGACGTCAGGATTGGTTATAGTTTTAGTAATGTTTTGTGCCCCCTTTATGGGGGGGGTTTCCGTTTTTTTTAATGACTGGGGGAATTTCACCCATGCCCAGTCCTCCCTCCATAGTGTACTTGGGGACGCGAGGGGGTTTCTTGCATTTCTTAATGAAAACAGATTTCCCCAAGTCGGGCCCCCGGGGCTGAGTGATGGGCTTTGTAAATGGCTTTTTCGAATCTATCGGAGTTAGGGTAATGTGGGAAATCTGGCAACATTTTGGATTTTTGGGGCTCATTTATGAAAAATCATTTGGGGCGTCGATCCTCAGACGATTGTGGTTCATAAACACGAGGTATGGGATTTCAATATTTCACTCATTTCCTTGTTGTACTGGTAAATCCCATCTGTTGAGTAAGGGGCCCCATACTGATGTGGTATTGCCTTGTTTTTGGCATATGAAAAAAATATTTTTTAATTTCTTTCAATTTCACAAAGCTTTAAGCTCCCCCCTCTCTCCTGGTTCCTGTAAGGTATTTAGCTTAAGTTCATGTTTCCATTCCCCGGTCAGCGCCCCCTTTGTTATAGATATTCTAGCACTCCGAACTCAGTGACTCTTGTCGTTTTTGTAGAGGGAGCGTTTTTTTTCCCCCCGTTTATTCCCGCTCTTCTTTCTTTAATTTAAAAAAGCGGTAAAATTTTAATGTTTTATTTGTTCTTAAGTCACTATATGACATTACATAAAAAAATGAATGTTAATTTTTTTTGCAAAGCAAAAAATCGTTAAAAATATAATTTATTAATATTTAAAATAATATATATAATATATATATAATATTATATAATAATTTTTATATATAGAGGATGGGGGCCCCCTTGGGTAAATTGTTGGGGACCTCGGAAAAGTGGATAAAAAGGGTTCAAGGATGAATATTTGGATTCTTTTGAAGCCCTTTTGGGTATTTCCCTTTCCCCACCACCCATTTTTATATTCAAATTTTATTAATTTTTTATATATATATTATTATATTATTATAATATATATTAAAAATTTTATAAAATATAATATATTAAAATCGCTCGCGCGAGGATAACTTAAAAACCCCTTCGAGGAGGTTCCATGATGCTGGTGAGGCGCTCTTGATCCAAGGAGTTACACTTGTCCTTTTGGAGTGAATCTGATTACCTCTCATTACTCAGGTGCTGCATGACCCATATGGGTTTAGCCCTTCCCCTAAGTAATATAATTATTATAATTAATGTAGGATACCCCCAACGCTTCCTCAAGGGGATGTTTTCCTTCGCAGATTGTTGCTAACTTCTCTCCTGGTTGGGCAAAATACAGAAACAGGCAGACATGATGCTTTAAGAGATTACTGAAGGGGTTTCGGAATTATAAGTAGTTCTTTTATAGTGCTAAATTTGTTCGTTCAAATGGCAAGTATGGATGACGTAGGTTAGGGTTGGCATCCCTGGAGGTTGACGTCACAGGATTTAACCAATGAGAGGAGGTCTGGGCGGAGCCAAGGGTGTTAGGGTTTGTGTATATGTTCAGTGTTGAGTGTGGGAGTGCAGTGGGACATCTGACTTCATTTAGTCAACACGAGAGCACGGTCGGTCGTTCCGTCGTCAGAATATTTAAAACAGTGTCGATGTTGAATTCTGACACGAACAAGGTACGTCAGTGATCAATCCGGCCCATTTGGATTACGAGCAGTCTTTTTCGAGCCTGGGTTAAGACATTCTGTGGCAAAGCAAAAACCTCGACTAAGTTTGTGATTTTTGTGTATACGATATACCGCCAGTGGGTGTGGGAACAAGATGTCCCCAGGCATTCCCCAAGACTCCAGTCTGCTCGAACTACACGCCGACGTAAGATAATACATGGACTTTTCCTTAGACTGCCTTTCTGTTCTTCAGTAAAATCTCACTACAGCTTTTGGACCTGTGATATCTTTTAAGTACTACTCTTACCACTACTGCTACTTAAGATTGTAGTGAAAAATATGTGGATTACTTTTAAAAACTTACATTTTCAATTTCGAGATACGCAAACACTGACAAACTGCAAACCTAGAAGAACCCCCGACCTACTGTTAGGGACTTGTTTCACCTGTTGTGCTATCACAGATATAGTAACTCATAACACTTGCATGTGCGGTACTTGTGAGGCACTTGTAAGTCAAGTGTACTTGATGCAAGGCGTCAAGGGGGGTTGTTTGGGCTCGAGATGTTTGGGTCACCCAAGTAAGACTCACTGTTGTAAGTCAGTCTGAATCTGACGTGTTGTCTTCAACTAACAGATTTTATACACTTCCTTTCACTTATTTTCTGACAAATTTTTATATGAAAGTGTGACATTTAGTTAATTAGGAATTTTCCTTCCCAGCTTTCGTGTTGTGTAATGAATTTGTATGTATGTGTCGAATTTCCTTTCTAATTACACTTTTTGTCGAAATTTAGGCTTTCTTTGAAATTAGATTTGATTAGCCTCCTTAACCATGTTCTTTATACCGTTACCTCTTGCCTATTATGATTGGAACCTACCTGGTATGGGCCGATAGGTTACACTATTGTTCTTATGGGCAGAGGAATATTGTACACACACATGGTAAGCAGGTTCTATCCACACCTAAAAAATATTCTTTCTTATGTACTTGCGTAACTTATTTTTAAAACTAACTTTAAGTAAAATTTACCTCTGGTTTAGATATTTTTTAACCCTTTTAACATTTATCACTTCATTCATATTAAGATTAGCATTATGTAATGTGGTTGTAAATAGTGAAAAACATCAGTTCGTATGGAAGACAGAGTAAGGACACTGCGCCCTGGGGGATCCTGGTTAACCCCTGGAGGTCGACAGGTCTCTGTGTTCAAATACTGCATTTGACATGTAACACGATAGGTACTGTGTACAGTGCTACCTCGTAGTTTCATTTAGGTAATAGCACCCGTGTTAGGTTTCATATTTAGTATTGAAAGATTAAAATTTCAACTTGAGATTTCATCAAATAGTTTTATAGATGTGTGTGTGTGTGTGTGTGTGTGTGTGTGTGTACTCACCTAATTGTGGTTGCAGGGGTCGAGACTCGGCTCCTGGTCCCGCCTCTTCACTGATCACTTCTAGATCCCCTCTCTGCTCCCTGAGTTTTGTTATACCTCGTCTTAAAGCTATGTATGGTTCCTGTGTGTGTGTGTATATATACATATATTATTGGCAGTTTGGAGGGATATGTTGTGTATCTTGATACGTATATGCTTCTAAACTGTTGTGTTCTGAGCACCTCTGCAAAAACAGTGATTATGTATGAGCGAGGTGAAAGTGTTGAATGATGAAAGTATTTTCTTTTTGGGGATTTTCTTTTTGGGTCACCCGCCTCTGGGAGACGGCCGACTAATATATATATATATATATATATATATATATATATATATATATATATATATATATATATATATATATACAGGCGAAATTATTTACAAACATTGTGTGTCTCTACGTCCACAGCAGGACTCGAACCTGCTAACTCTGTGTCCGAGTCCAGAGTACTTTACCACGGAGCTAGACCCAAGATAACTATGGGCGTCCAGCCGGAGCCAGATGATGTTTCCCCATGGTGCCCGGGGGTATGGGGAAACATCGTCTGGCTACGGCTGAACGCCCATACTTATTTTGGGTCTAGCTCCGTGGTAAAGTACTGTGGTCCCTGACAGAGATTGCAGGTTCGAGTCCTGATGTGGACGTAGAGAGACAATGTTTGTAAATAATTTCGCCTGTTTGCGAATTGTTAAGCGCGCGCGCGCGCGCGCGTGTGTGTGTGCGCGTGTGTGTAGTAGGTTGGTAGACAACAACCGCCCAGGGAGGTACTACCACCCTGCCAAGTGAATGTAAAACGGAAACCTGTAATTCTTTTACATGATGGTAGGATTGCTGGTGTCTTTTCTATTTCATAAACATGCAAGATTTCAGGTACGTCTTGCTACTTCTTACACTTAGGTCACACTACACATACATGTATAAGCATATATATATATATATATATATATATATATATATATATATATATATATATATATATAATATATATATATATATATATATATATATATATACATACATACATATATTATACATACCCTCTGGGTTTTCTTCTATTTTCTATCTTCTTGTTTATTCCCTCTTATCTCCATGGGGAAGTGGAATAGAATTCTTCCTCCGTAAGCTATGCGTGTCGTAAGAGGCGACTAAAATGCCGGGAGCAAGGGGCTAGTAACTCCTTCTCTATATATTACTAAATTTAAAAGGAAAAACTTGTTTTTCCTTTTGGGCCACCCTGCCTCAGTGGGATACGGCTGGTGCGTTGAAAGATATGTGTGCGTGTGTGTATACCTGGAGGGCATTCCAGGGATAAACGCCTCCGCGGCCCGGTCCACGACCAGGCCTCCCGGTGGATCAGGGCCTGATTAACGAGGCTATTGCTGCTAGCAGCACGTAGTCCAACGTACGAGCCACAGTCCAGCCCTCTTTAAGAAAACCATGGGTCTATTGGTAATGCCCCTTATGACTTGTGGGAGGCTGTTGAACAGTCTTAGCCCCCCGACACTTACTTTGTTTTCCCTTAGTGTACCAGTGGGGGTATGTTGCATCGCCTGCTAAGTCTTTTGCTTTCGTAGGAAGTGATTTCTGTGTGCGGATTAGGAACCAGTCCGTCAAGAATTTTCCAGGTGTAGATTATAATATATATCTTGTCTGCACTCCAGTGAGTACAAGTCAAATGCTTCCAGGCATTCCCAGTAGTTAAAATGTTTGATGGAACTTATACGTGATGTAAACGTTCTTGGTACATTCTCTAGATCTGCAATTTCACCTGCCTTGAATGGGGATGTTAATAAGACCATAAGGAACATTGCAGCAGGCCTACTGGCCCATGCGAGGCAGGTCCATGCCCCAACGCAGTCAGGTCAGGTTACATTCACTTAAGGAAGGAACACGGCAACTGACCTAGTAGCACAAGCTTGACAGTCAGGTCCAACTCGCACCCACCCACACCCACTCGTGTATTTATCTAACCCATTTTTAAAACTACACAACGTTTTAACCTCTATAACTGTACTCGGGAGTTTGTTCCACTCATCCACAACTCTATTACCAAACCAGTGCTTTCCTATATCCTTTCTGAATCTGAATTTTTCCAACTTAAAACCATTGCTGCGAGTCCTGAGTAAGCTAGATATTTTCGACGTTATTTACATGCCGTTATTTACATCCCCTTTATTTATTCCTGTCTTCCATTTATACACCTCAATCATATCCCCCTAATTCTACGCCTTTCGAGAGAGTGCAGATTCAGGGCCCTCAGTCTATCCTCACATGGAAGATTTCTCATACATGGGATCAACTTTGTCATCCTCCTTTGTACGTTTTCCAGAGCATTTATATCCATTCTGTAATACGGTGACCAAAACTGTGCAGCATAATCTAAATGAGGCCTAACCAAGGATATATAGAGTTGAAGAACAACCTGAGGACTCCTATTATTTATGCTTCTTGATATGAAGCCAGTGTTTCTGTTAGCTTAAAAAAGGTCATCATTGGCTTAGCATCTCTCGTCTTGAATGTTCTCATTATCCATCCTATCAGTTTCCTCGCAGATGTGTTAGTGGCATTGTTGTGGTTCTTGAAGGTGAGGTCTTCGGACATTACTACACCCAGGTCCTTCACATTACTTTTCTGCTCTATTGTGTGATTAGAGTTTGTAGTATAATCAGTCCTAGCTACTATTTCCTCCAGTTTTCCATAACGACGTAGTTGGAATTTGTTTTCATTGATCATCATATTATTCTCCGTTGCCCATTGGAAAAATTGGTTTATATATTTGAGATTTGCCGTGTCCTCAATGGATAACACACATGCAGATCCTAGTATCGTCTGCAAAGGATGATACATAAGAACGTAAGAAAGAAGGTACACAGCAGCAGGCCTCCTGGCCCATGCTAGGCAGGTTAAAGTCTCCCACCGGTTTAAGCCAATGACCCAACCTTACACAAATAACCCGCACATAAAAGAGAGAAGCTTACGACGACGTTTCGGTCCGACTTGGACCATTGACAAAGTCACACAGTGTGACTGTCAATGGTCCAAGTCGGACCGAAACGTCGTCGTAAGCTTCTCTCTTTTATGTGCGGGTTATTTGTGTATTGTTCCAGTCACGGTATTGTGCCTTTTTGTTATTTATGACCCAACCTTGTCAGGTCAGGTCATATTCAGAGTTATGGAAGGAGCACGGCATCAGGTCCGACTCACACCCACCCACACCCAATGTATTTATCTAACCTATTTTGAAAACCACACAACGTGTTAGCTTCTATGACGGTACTCGGGAGTGTTTCACTCATCCACAACTGTTACCAAACCAGTGCTTTCCTATATCATTTCTGAATCTGAATTTTCCCAACTTAAAACCATTGCTGCGACTCCTGTTTTGGCTAGATATTTTTAGCATGCTATTTGCATCCCTTTTATTCCTTTTTTCCGTTTATACACCTCAATCATTATCCCCTAATTTTACGCCTTTCTAGAGAGTGCAGATTCAGGGCCCTCAGTCTATCTTCATAGGGAAGATTTCTGGCCTGATCGTAAAATCTCTTGCTTCACACGTCGAGGGTCTGCGTTCGATTCCCAACGCGGGTAGAAACATTGGGCCTGTTTCTTTACACCGGTTGTCTGTTAACCCTCAGTAAAATGGGTACCTTGGAGTTAATCGACTCGTGTGGGTCGCATCCTGGGGACAAGGACCTAATTTGCCCGAAATGCTCTGCATAACAAGGGGCTTTCTATATAGTAGTATGTATGTCATTGACGTCAGCTA